ATGTTTATTAAATATTAATGATATATGGTCATTGGGCCAAGTGGGAGAATGTAAGAATTATTATTAATTATTTCTTACTTATGGCCCAAGTTTACTTGTAACCTAAGTAATACCATAAATAATAATTAATAAGGAGTAAATCTCGTCCGTACATTGGTTACTTGATGGACGTGCCAGATTAATTCATAACCTCTATAAATTGGTCCTCCCTCCACCCATTAGGGTTATCACATATTCTCTACAATAATTCCATCGCTGACGGTTGTGGTAACATAAAGTTAGGACAAGGAGGTAGAAACCAATTTACGACTAACACTTCCGCTTCTCTCTATGATGATGTCTTCCGCATCAGGTATGTGCCCCTAATGATCTCTATGTAAGATTATCGTGTTCAAGATCCTAATATGTATTAAAGTATTTAATCTTACATTCTGAAGAAAGGGCCTATTATTTTTCAGAATTAGCCCTCCATTCGCCTTATTCTTTGAAGGTATCAAACCCTATTGAGTTAGTCTGAAAGATTGATAGAATAAAGAAAGTCCTTAATCGCGTGGACAATCCTACAGACGATCAAGCAAACTCAAACTCACTTCAAGTGCAAAATAGACTTGTCATACCTAAAACAAAATTGGGTTACCGACTTAATTCCCTCACTTCCTTAAAGACGGTCACTTAACGATTTATAAATAGTGTAATTAATCCTCATCCAAAGATTATTCAAATCAAATTTCAAATGCATTTGTTGATCCAAAACTAATCTCATATTTGAGTTGCAAATGCTTTTATTAACTGTCACCAAATGATAAAGTCTGATAGACTAATCAATTTCAAATACAATAATCATTGAAAGGGAAAAAGGAGCAAATGATCATAATACTTGAATGAAACTACGACATAACACTTTATGAAACCTTATAAGAGGTTTAGATACCTAAAAATAATAGAAGTGATGATACATTAATATCTTATATCACATTGCAAATAGATACAAATGATATATCACAATGTTATCTACAATATATGTTGCAATATTGTAAAAGATTCTGAGAATATGAATTTTACGTTTATTATAACATGCCAACGTGAAAATAATTATCAATATGATAAATCTTGATAATTACCAGATCTTTGTGCAATTGATGCATTTATATATCTTGCTATAACTATCAACATGATACAGTTTTACTCCTACATGAAAAAACAATTGTCTATTGCAAATGAATTCTCGGTATGAACGTGTGTATCGTAACAAGTATTGTAAAGTATTTTTTGTTAGACATGGTAATGACATTCATTTGATCGATAGACATGTTATTTGTTCCCATGTAAGGAATTTCAACAATATTATATGATGACGATGTAACTATATAGATACAAATGATTAACTCGTTCGTCTAATGATAACTTGACAAGTTTGATCATAAAGTCACTGTCAACCTCAACACATGATAGACTAATATACAAAATTAAAATATACTATCATCTTTAAGAATTATGTGATTCTTTAATTAGAAAATGTAAAATATACATTGCACTCATTTTGTCTTAATCAAGATTTTGTCCCATTGATTTTTTCTTGATAAAATTTTAATGAGACATTTAATAATACGTATTCTAGATTTATGTACTTTTTTTTTCTTACTAGATTTTTTCTAGTAAGATTTTAATGGGCTATATTATCTATTAATGAACATCAAAGGTGAAATATTATAAATACACTGGTTAATGTCCATTGATTATTCTCATAGCTTCTTGAAGAAGCTTATAAGCAACTTACAAATAGCTTATAAGTAGCTGAGTGTAGCTCTGCAATTAGCTTCCATAAAAAGTTTACAAATAGCTTACTAAAGTAGTTTATAAAGTAGTGAACTTACAAAATAATTTATTTTATTTTATTTTTTATTTTACCCACATTAGAGTTCGACTAAATTTAAATTTGTGTCGAAAAGTCCCACATTGGGGGTGCGCTCCCTGACAAAGGTGACTCCGTATCCTAGGAGCTAATTCAATTCATTTTGTTCATAAATTTCAAGATAAATAAAATCTTTGATTTCGTACTTTTTTAGTTGCATATCTTGTTATTTTATACAGGAATAACTTTACATTCCTGAGGAATATTAACCCCCTCTGGTTTACTAAGTTATTCTTATTTATTAGAGGTCTTTTTGGAGGATTAAATAATATTAAAAAGAACTACTTATTGATTATTAAGAGCATATATAATTAAAAAAGTCTATAATATTCTAAATGACCAGAGAATTTGGTCAGAAGTTTAAAAAGTCTATAATATTCTTTTTATTTTAAAATAAATTGATCTTTTTTTCATTTTTTAATTAAAAGGTATTAAAGTTAAAATGATAAAAATGTTCAAAAAGATAAAATAACATAATGTGAAATATGTTATTTTACCTGGCCAAATTTTCTGGCCAAAAGGTTTTTCCATTTAAAAATACTTGTCCACTTTAGTTTTGAATTTCTAAAACAACAATTATTTCCGGACAAATATTTTGATCTGAGAATAATTATCAATTTGGGATAGAAAGAGTAAGAAGTGATGTCAAATCAAACATACTAATTAAACAGTCATAAATTGTGTTTCATATTTCATTAGAGTAGGCAAATTATAATTATGGACATGCCTAATTTACAACCACATACCTCAATAATTGCTAGCAAATGGGCCAAGAATTTGTATAAGATGTCTTGTCATTTCTAAATTTAACAAAGTATCCGTGCCAAGGCAACATAAATATTGTACTTTTGCCTCCATAATAAGATTAATTTTCCATTTCTCATTTCTACACAACATAAGAACCTCAAAACTCAAAAGGTGAGTTCCCTTTTGTCTAAAATATTATTTTCAAATTCAAAAAGTAGTATTCCTCATTCTAATAAGTCAATGGACTATAGGAATGGTGGGTGTTAATCAGCCCCTGACCCACCCAAGAGTCGTTAAAATGTGTTTAAAAAAATTGACTAAAGGAATAAGAAGTTGTATGCTGGCATTGACATTATTTGACTTCTCACGATGTTTAAGAAAACTTTAAAAGTTGAATTGTTTCTAATTATAGAAAGATATTCTTCTTAGGAAAGACTAAAAAATAGTGTCACTTAAGTTGAAGCAGAAAAGTATAAGAGTATAACGTGTATGTCAAAATACTGAATTTCATAAAAACATTTTAAAAAAATCCTAATCCCTAAAACTTCTCTCCTTGAAACTTTTAGGGACTTCAAGCCAATATTTTTTTGCTACTTATGGAATATATGAATAGATGTTTAGATTCATTGAAGAAGAAGCTAAAATGCAATTACCACCCTAGATGATAGAAACTAGGGAACACATATTCACTAGAGGTGATGTTTGGTCTATTCAACCACTTAGGGACAAGTTTTACCTTTTCTCTTATGCTTCTTGCTTGAAAGCTAATTTGTGAAAACTTAAGTCTATAAGTTGTTATAAGCTTTGAACCAACAAAAGGAGAAATTATGGTTCACTTGGGTTCACAAATAATACATAAAAGGGTAAACTACCTTATTAGACATATATTACTATTATATATATATATATATACTAACCTTATCTCTACTTTTAACTAATTACATATATTATCATTTTAAATATTTTATACCATATATTATTAAAGATATCATCATATATGCATATTCTTTAAAATTAGTTATCTGCACAATTAAATCATCCCCAATTGAAGCTTTCATGTTAATCAATTATTTCTCTCTCTCAATAGTTAGATACGTATCAACTTTAATTTCCTTGAGGGCTGGAAATGGAAATGAAGGAAGCATAGAAAATAAATAAAGTTATCCCCACTCTCTACCGTCGCTAGTGGTTTCTCTTTCCGTCATGAATTTACCAATATTGGAAATTTATTTGTTATTAGAGAACATTCGAATTTTTCCATATGTAAACCTTTCGATTTGTGACACTTTTAATTGTCCCCCCCAACCAATCTTTAAACACGTGTATATATATATATATATATATATATATATATATATATATATATATATATATATATATATATAAAAGGAGTAAAATTTCAGGTCCGTTTCAATTGAGGTTAATGTGTATAATATAAAGGAGGTGACATAGTTTATGTAGTTAACTTAACCAACTAATAGGTACGTTCAAAAGATTTTTATTTGAATTGAAAGTGTCTAATAGGAACAAATTAACATGTGTAGGGATGGCAATGGGACAGGGCGGATGTGAGGCGGAGTGGGTTTAAGACTATGCGGGGTGAGGCGGGTTTAAGATTGTGCGGGGAGGGTTGAAGCGGGTTTTTTAAAAAAAAAATTAATGCGGGGCGGAGCATAACTTTATGTGGGTTCAAAGTTAATTTTAAATTAATTTCTTTAAAGCTACTAAAATGATCAAGATAGTAAATGAAAATAGTTCAATAAAAAAAAAATACAATTTCTTACATGTTTCCTAATTGACCTCTTAAAAATATTTTTTTAAGTCACTATCCTATTGAATTAATACAACTTAATGAAAAAAATAATTTATTTGTATGAATTTTAATTTTAGTATCAAACTTAACTAGAAAAAAAAAATATTATAAAAATTATGTGGGGCGAGTTCATGCGGAGCGGATCTATGTGGGGTGGGGTGAGACGGGTTGAAAATGAAAAAGGTTAATATGCAGGGCGGGTTAAAAATTTTGCGGGTTAAGCTCAACTCGCCCCACCCCGCCCCGCACCGCTTCATTGTCATCCCTAAACATATGCTCAGATACTCAATACCGTAGTTCAAATGTCTAAAAGATATTCATTGACAAATTTAAAAGATTATCAATTTATTTAATCATTTATATTTCACATAAAAAAAATACTAAATTTAGATGAACATTCTTCCTTGTAGCCACCCGACCTCAAATTAATGTCCTATATAAAGTCCTCCTTGCAAGTAACATTCTTCAAACCAACTACCATATTTCTCTCTATTGCATAGCTTATACTAAAAAACCACACAATAATTAGTTAAGTGACCAAAAAAAAGGAAGGATCAATATGTCTTGTAGAGATATTGAACCACTTATTGTTGCAAGAGTGATTGGAGAAGTAGTTGATAGTTTCAATCCAAGTGTGAAAATGAATGTGATATATAATGGAAGCAAACAAGTGTTTAATGGTCATGAACTCATGCCTCCTATCATTGCTTCTAAGCCTCGTGTGGAGATTGGTGGTGAAGACATGAGATCTGCTTATACACTCGTATGTATTTTCTCAGTTTCAATTTTGGTTGTCTTACTTTTTTTTTTTAAGTAAGTTTTAAAAAAATTCATTACTTTCTTAAATTTAATATCCACTAGTACTATTTTCCCAATGAAATTTCTCATTGAAATTATTCAGTGACAATTCCAATAAATATTTTGATCGAATTTGTGAGTAAAGTATTTTCACACAAAAAATATTAGGAAGCTTTCCAGTACTATATTTCAACGAAAATCTATTTTTCATCATGTGTTATTTCAGTGAGTTGAGTTAAAAAAATAAATATATATATATATATCATATTTTATATCATAAATTTCTCATTGATTCGTATTACCATACTCTGTCTCATTTTCAGATTATCTATTTTTTTTAAAAAAAAAATCTCTTAATTGTAAATTTCTAACTACTATGTTGTTGTCTTTCTTTTGTTTGGAAAAGATCATGACTGATCCAGATGTTCCAGGTCCTAGTGATCCTTACTTAAGGGAACACCTCCACTGGTAATTAATTTCTCCCGGTTTCTTTTCAATTGTCATGTTACGTTTTTTTTAGAAGTTAATTTGACTAATTTTTAAAGTTACATTATATTATAATAATTCGATATTTTAAGCTAAAAATTTAAATATTCAAAATCTATAAGAAAAATATTATAAATTGCAATTTTTTTTTGCATTATCAATATGATAACACCATCTAGTAATTAATTAATGTACAATTTGCATGGGCTTTAAATTTGGTTTTGCTTTTGCAGGATTGTGACAGATATTCCTGGTTCAACTGATGCTTCTTTTGGTAATAACCAAATTAAGTTGACTATTTCGTTATCATTTTATTTACTTAATTATATCTTCAAGACTACACGTAGTAATACATCAAATTCATACAGGAAAAGAGATAGTGAGCTACGATAGTCCAAAACCAGTGATCGGGATTCATCGATACGTGTTCGTATTATATAGGCAAAATAGAGGAAGACAAACAGTGAAACCACCAGTAACAAGAGATCATTTCAACACTCGAAAATTTGCAGCAGAAAATGAATTCGGTTCCCCTGTTGCTGCTGTCTACTTTAATGCCCAAAGAGAAACTGCTGCTAGAAGAAGATGAACGTTATCCAACTACATCAACATCAACAAATAAAAATAAAATTCCGCAAATTAAATACCGGTCTGTACTATCAAGACCGATATCTAATTATATTATAAGACCAGTAGCGTACGTAGAATTTTTTTTGTTTGCATTTAATAACCATAGTCATAGTCGTGCATCATGGAGGTTGTGAGCTATCCGCCAATAAGGTTGCAACATCAATAAATAAAATAAATTTACGTAAATTAAATATCGATCTGCACTATCCAGATGGATATCTAATTACGTTATAACCAGTAGCGTATGCAGAATTTTTCGTTTTGCATTTAATAACCTGCGGCGCGCTATCTATTTGTTTGTCGTATCTATTTATTATTACTTTGTCTTTCATGTTACCTCTTTCAAAGGGTTTTTTCTAGTTTAATGTATTGGTTGAAACTTGAAAATAATAATATATAAGTATTTTATTAATAATATACATGTATCATTTTCAATATCAATATATTAATAAATAAAAAATTCTTGGCTTACTTACACTGCAATTCACGAATTATTTTAACAAGAAACGTTAGTAAACATGGCACTGTGCAAGTGGTGGAGCTATAGTTTTTCAAGGTCGATACATCAAAAGAGATATTTAGTAGTAATAAATTTTTTAACTGTATTTATTGTTGCAGATATATTTAACGATAATTGAGTTAATATTACATTGAAAGTCGTTAAAGTCTTTAGGGGTGTTCAAAACCGAACCATAAACGATAAGTCAAGCGCAAAATTGACTTATTGGTATTGAGTTATCAAATAAACGGTTGGGGAACATATTAAAACTTTATAATTAACGGCTTATTGGTATGGGGGCGGATTTTTCATTTTTCTTATCGGATAAACCATTAACCCGTTAAGAGTTACCAAACTTACATTTTTATTTGATGTATATTAGGCTCATTTAATATTTTACCGTAATATATAAAAGTAATTATATATTTTTCTTTTGGTAGTCCTAACTCCTAAAAACTAAAGCTAAAGCCATGAAAACCTATTTACTTTTCAATAATTATCTATTTTTCTTTAAAGAATAGAGAGCAAGTCAACAAACTTAAAAAAGCACTGAAGATATGTAAATGAAAAGTATGCAGCAATTTATCGAGTCATTGGTAAATATGGTTCCACTGGATAATGAAAATACGACAACCAGTTGAAAATCTGGATCAAATTATCCATTCGATGTTGTTACTGCTTCAAGTCATCCTTTTTGTAAGGTGCGTTCATATGTTACCGAACCAACCGATAATTGTTAATATGTTACCGAACCAACCGATATCTTGTAGGTTCACTAGCTCTGTTAGGCCAAACCGTTTAGCGAAATTATCCAATTTGTCCTATAAACAACCTTAGTCTTTAGTACTCCCTCTATCCAACAATATATAGTTGTTCACTATTGACTTGACACAGAAATTAAGAAGTAGTAAATCATAGGGGTAATTTATCAAATCGCCCTTCTTAAATATAAGCCATCTAGAGATTGAAAAATAAATAACATTTAATAACAAGTGTTGACACCCAATTTTGGACCTCCACTGTATAAATTAAACATCGAGCTTCTTTAATTTCAAACGATTTGAAATAATTAGCTTTATAAAATTCAAATATGTTTCAAGTTATTTTAGAGAATTTTAGTCACTTTTTTTATAAAAAATATTTTAAATAATAAATATGTTATATATAGTTACGTATGTAATTAGCATATTTTGAAGTCATCTAAAAAATTTACATTTTAGTTAATTATTTTGTTAATTTACTTTAGTTTTAATTATGGTGATAATTTTAAACTATTCAGTTTATAATTAAGTTAATTATTTTGTTTCGTTAAGTTTAAGAAGCTCGTTATCTAATCTTGTTTGAATTCGTCTTGATTAAAATTTGGCTGAATTTACTAATTAACTCAATTTGGCTAAATTATTAATCCCAATTGGCTATAATCTAAATCCATGTAGCCATTCCTAATTTTCAATCAAACCTTTTTTTCTTACTTCATCATCCCAATTCTTTCAGCCCATCTGATCCATTAGAGAAGCCCAACACCATTTCTTTTCAGCCAATTCAATCGACCTAGCCCACAAAATACAACAACAACAATACCAACGCAATACCCGACCCACATGTGTCTTCTTCCTAGCGGGACGAACCCAGAAACGAAAACCAGTCTAGCATCGCAGCCCAGCAAATCGACCCGAAACACGTTCCTCTCCCTCGCCCTTCTTATCCGTTCGTACGAAGAATGTTGGAAATCGTCCTTCATCATACGTGTCCCCATCTCCTTGAGTCTTTGTCCTTTGCTCCGAAATTGTCACGCCCCGAGCCTACCCCCGAGACACGGACATGGGACCTAGGACCACAAATGATCCCAAGCTAATCCTGCTGGCATGATCATGGACATACTAAAGATAATAAACTGATGTGGAAGCTAAATTATAAATAAAATGAAAAGATGGGGAATACCCATATACTATAACTGAGATATATGAAAACTGATGAGTTTAATAAAAAAAAGATATTAACTCAATACTAAGCTGAATCTAACTATGTCTGAAAATAGTCTCTAACTAACTAGATATGCTGGTACAGGTCCTAACTAAGTCTAGCAAAACTGAAACTAAAGGACTAAAAATACTGAAAAGAAACTCATGACTATTGTCCTCGGAGAATGAGGACTCAACACAGATTATACTGAACTGGAGATCGGGAACTGATCTAAGCGTGATCTAGATGCTGAAAACCTGAACCTACATCACGAGAAGATGTAGCGCAGAGTATGCGTCAGTACTTGAAAGGTACTAAGCATGCAGGACATAATACAGCTGAAATAACATATAACTGAACAAAGCAAATAAGCAATGATATAATCTGAACATGATATACATACTGAATGCTGAGATAATTGAATGTAATGACCAATTTATAACATGCTGAAACTGAATACTAGATATACTGATAAATGGTCAATGCAATAGAATCTGACTGAACTGTGGGAGCTACTAATAACCGACAATAAAACCGCATGAGCTAAATGTGACGTCCGGTGTATACGTCACATTGAGAGGACCCAATATACCCTGTCAGAGGTATAGAGGCATGCTGGCGTGATTACTGAAATAATGCCCACATAGGGGAGTTACAACCTACGTGGCCAGTAGTTCTGGGACTATTTGGGTACGTTGAACCCTAGTCCAACTCGATATTATGCTACTCCCAATGGATTAAGTAATTAACACATTATGACTGAATTTCTGTAGGTTACTGGATAGCTCAAACTGAACATGCAAACTGAGAATGCAATAATTAACTGATATTGATGCATTAATAACTGAGGCATGTATAACTGAATAACTGAAATATCTGACCTAGCATGTGTAATTCAAGAACTAAAGAAATACAGAGCTAGGGTTCTGGAATTCATGCATGAAACTGAATATTAACGTACTAATTTGATTTCGATCATTCTAACAGCTAAGAACCCAATAATTCTAACATTCAAGAAACCCTAGGTCTAGTCATAATAAGAGAATTAAGAAACTGACTGAAAACTAGGGACCTAATGGGTGAAAGGAACCCACTAGTGAAATACCACATACCTGGTGACGAATTCCATGGAGAAATCTTTAGATTTCGGGGCTGGAACTGATGGAATCTTGATGCGTTCTTGAACTAGGGTTCTTGGTTTCTCTTCTCCTCTTACGCTTTAATTTTTCTAAGTTTTGATTAATGATTTGACTTAGGTTAGTTCTAGTTATGTTTCTAGGCTTAAACTGACTAAAACCTCATAATTTAGGGTCTAAATGACGTAGCTTAGGGGTCCAACAAAATAGGAAAAGACCAAAAGACCCTTGACTTAACTGTTGTCGGAGTGATCGACTGACAGGATCTACGAGCCGTAGGTCGATCTACGGTCTGTAGATTGGAGTCGTAGGTCAAGTCTGCCCGACAGGGCTTCGCTAAAACGAGCATAAATTTTTACTCAGAGGTTGGATTTAAGCAAACTTGGTGGCGTTGAAAAGATGATTCAATTATCTATCATATCATAGGTCATAGGACACATAATTCCTTTTGTGCTAAGAGTTATGACCTTTTGAAGTTTACCCAATCAACAATTTTCATCTAATTGGCTGCTGACCCTCACCTACGGTCAGACCTACGAACCGTGGATTGAATGACGGTCCGTACTGGTCGGCAATCATTTCCCTTAGAGGCTGGGTAAAGGAGGCCTCGATCCACGGACACAGACCATGGACCATGGGTCTGTCCGTGGGTCGAGACTTAGCCAAAATTTTGAGTTGGGTTTGGGGAGCGGTTGCAGTGGTGAACCACGGACCACCAGCACGGGCTGTGGTCTGACCTACGATCCGTGGATGGCAACCGTGGGTTCCGCCTTCAACTTTTAAAAATCTACATTTTTGGTCTTTTTCGGATATGGGGTGTTACATTATCTCCCCCTTGGAACCATTCGTCCTCGAATGAAGACTAAACTAGCTGAAGTGGAGGGAGAGGGCTGTGGTGTGAAAGTTTCGATTTCAGCTCGTTTCATCCCGTTTGCTGCTCCGGAAAAGGTAATACTCTCGTTCTTTTATGTGTTTGAAATTCCATAGTTTTCCTTTGTTAAGTTCCTTGAATTTCTTTACTGTGAGTTGTTTTTGTGTCATTGTCATAGTTGCAAATATTGAATGTCTTTCCAGTAGTCTTAGTTAGTTTGCTTAAATGTCTACTTGCTTTGTATTTCTTTCATTTCTAATTTCTTGTTCTTGCTTGTTGCTTGCGATTTTGTTTGAATGCACTAAACATGATCTAAAATAAGTGGTGCCTTTTTTTTTTACTTTTTCCTCACTGTTTGCGTGCTATATGTGACTGGTCCTCTTGAACACTTTGTCCAATCTTCTCTATATTTTCTTCAGCTAAATCAGATTATTTCTTTTGGAAGATTAATTATTCGAGTTCTTGTTTCTTTAAGATCGCTGCCAGCTCCTTCTTGCATGTTTCCCTCTATCTATATTCCAGCCTGACTTCGTCTAGGCTGGAAATACTAAGATTCGTGTGATCAATATGTTAATTGCAATTGTTTGCTGGGCAATGCTTTGAATGAGTAATAATATTCACCATTAGTGTCATATGTTGTGTAGTA